GGGAGAGAAGGGTGTGAGTGGGGGGGGCGGGCGCAGTTTCTCTCCAGAATGTGTGGTCAGGGGTCCTGAAATATTCCCTCTGGCGCCACAACATCTAGGCCCTGACAGCTGCCTGAAATCCCTCTTTTGGTGGGGAGATACGTCCTGTGTTCACTCAGGCTCAGGACATGGGACAGGAGGCCCAGCCAGTGGTGAAAAGCATGGACTCTGGAGCTTAACAGTATGGGTTGGAGCCCTGGTCTGCCACTTACTGACTCTGCAACCTCAGGCCAGTCACTAACTGCCTGTGCCTCAACTTCCTCACCTGTAAAATGGGGATGATGCTAAAAGTTTTTACTTCATGGAGGTAATATGAAATTTAAAGAAGTTAATATTGAACAGCATCTGGGACATAGTAAGAAGCACATACGTATTAGTTAAAGAAATAAGGTTGGAGGGCGTGGCACTCCAGGGCCTGGCTCAACCCACGGGGGAGTTGTGGAGGAGCCCGGTATGAAGAGGGGGTGTCCTAGTTTCCTGCGGCTGCTGTAATAACTTCCCTTAATCTTAGTGGCTTAAATCAGCACAGATTTATTCCCTTACATTTCTGGAGGTCAGAAGCCTAAGCTCAAGATGTTATTATGGCTGGGCTCCTTCTAGAGGCTTCAAGGGTGAATCTGCTTCCTTGTCTTTTCTACCTTCCAGAGGCCCCTCCGTTGCATCAGCTCTTGCTTCATTCCAATTCATGCTTCCATTGTCACATTGCCTTCTGTCTCTTATCTGCTACCTCCCTTTTATAAGGATTTCCGTGATTACAACAGGCCAGGATAATCTTGTCATCAACACCCTTAATTTAATCACACCTACAAAATCCCTTCTGCCAGGTAAGGGAACGTTTTTTTTTTTTTTTTTTAATGCTCACCCAAGGATATTTTTCCATTGATTTTGGAGAGAGTGGAAGAGAGAGAGAGACAGAGAGAAACATCAATGTGAGAGAAACATATCGATTGGTTGCCTCTTGCATGAGCTCTGACCAGGGCCCAGACCAGGGAGGAGCCTGCAACTGAGGTACATGCCCTTGACCAGAATCAAACCCAGGACCCTTCAGTCCACAGACCGATGCTCTATCCCCTGAGCAAACTGGCTAGGGCTGTAAGGTAACATTTACAGATTTCAAGGTATAGGACACGCCCATTGATCCCCTCCAGCCCGCCCCCGCCCCACGCCCCAGGCCTTCACCATTCCACACTCTGTTCCAGGACATGGACATTTTAGAGAGCCATTCTTCAGTGCACTATAGGCGTGGCCAGATAGTGAATGCTACCCTATATATGTGCTATGTGCCAGGCACTTGCTAAGCACTTCATACGCATCTCACTTAATCCCTATGGCAACTTTATGGGGAAGACTATTAGTATTTCCAATGTAATAGAGAGGTTAATTCTTACAAGGTTCCCCACCACATAAGGGATAGAGCCAGGATTCAAGCTCAGCTCTCTCTGGACTCTAGACAGATTTACCACATTGGTTCAGAAACCTTGTTTTAGGTTTTGCTCTGCAGTGCTGAGTATCACATCTGCCCACTGTGGGCCCTGATCAAGGATGTGGACTGACAGGCAGGTGGACTGGAGAGGGAGGGTAGGAGCGGACTCTGAGAGGTGGAGCTGATTTCCTGCCAGTTCTCAGCTCCAAGACCCTTTACCCACAACCCCTTACCTTGAAGGGCGTGTCCAGGCCTTGGGAGGTCACCTGGGGAGCTCCTACTAAACTGTAGTCAATGCCAGCAACCTGGTCAATCATCAAGGTGACTATGGAATGGGAAAGAGGCAGCATTGTGAACAGTGGCTAAACACAGTTGTGCAAATTCTATACCGGGAGCTCCTTTCACATGGACTGTAGCCTTTGGAGAATGGAAATGGGCTGGGGCATATCTGTGTATCTTCTGTCACAGAGAGAGTACTTCATTCATTCATTCATTTGTTGATTCATTCATTAATTCAGTGTTTACTGAGCATAAGTCCAGAGGAGGAAAAATCAAATACTCAAGGAAATAAATGTTCAATTGCTAGTATGTTAGATGTTAAATAGAAGTCCATAGGATGGTGCCAGCCATATAACAGGGAGTAAAGTGACTCGCACAGGGAGTCAGGGGAGACTTCCCAGAGGAGGCGTTGCTTTGGCTGAGATCTGAAGGAACAGCAGGTGTTGACTGGTGAAGGTGGGTAAATGTGGAGGAAGGCACTGGCAGAGGGAATGGTATGTGCAGAGATCTGTATGGAGCACCGTATATTAGAGGGATGACTAGGGACCAGAGTGGCTGGCTGAGTTGGGGACGGGAGCAAGGTAAAGCTGAAGACAGTGCTGTGGTGGCCTTGTCCCCCACAGCTGGCCCATTTTTCTGAGAGTCGGAGGAGTCTTTGATAGATTTCAAGAAGAGGGGGAGACCTGACCCGATGTGTGATTGTAAAAGGTACCTGTGTCAGCCAGAGGGTCAGGGCTAGGAGGGTCCCCAGCCCTGCACAGGGAGGTCAGAGCACCCCTGTTTTGTAAAAGCAAACACATGATTCTCCCACATATTCCTAATTTTCTGCCCACCTTGTGCTCCCAGCAGGTTTGTGAGTCACCACCCTTCCACCCTTAATCACCTTACTCCCCCACCTCTAGAGAACAGACACCCCGCCTCAAGAGGTGGTCATCCCATATCTAACTCTGTAAGATGGAGAGATATCTAATGGGGAAAATTCTCCCAGGGCTCTTGCCGGGGTGGTGGTTCCAGGGCTACTGGGTGCAATGACATCTGATGGCACCCGAGAAGTGAGGGGGCTCCTAACCTGGCAGAGTCCGGAGATAGGGCTCCAGGTGTGAGGATGTTGACGTCCTGACGATTTCGCAGATCTGCCGAGAAAGTGAGTGAGAAAGTCAGGAAAGTCCTTCCTTCTCCCTCCTCCCGCCTCCTCCACTCTAGGAACTGTGTGTTATATCCCCACCTGGTAGGTAGGTATGTGAGGGGAGGGAGAGAATATGGTGAACAGGGAGAAGAGACCACTACCCCCATCAACACCTGGTTATTGTCCCACTTGGGCTGGCCTCTCAGACAGATGGGCCCAATTTAAGTTCCTAGAACCCAGTTACAGTGGATGGTGGTCAAGTCAGCACTGCCCTACGGCCTACCACTGTCATGGTTTTCTGGCAGCTGAGTGGCAAGCAATGTAGTACATAAAGGCTGATATTAGAGAGCAGAGGGACAAAGCAGAAGAGCTTCTAGGTACAAGAGGCAGCTCTTGAATTAGAGGTTCTGCCACCCCAGCCCCCAGCACCTTTGCCTCCTTTACCTACTGGGGTTTCTGTCATCAGCGAATCTGTCAAGGAGCACGGTGCCTGGTCTGTGGGCAATACTAACTATGGCCACCAGAGGGCTCCAAAGTAAAGCCAGATGGAGGGTCTGCTCCAGAATTGTATTCCTCAGTAGGCCAACTTACTCCTCTGTAAGCCAAGAATTACAGCTTGGGAGATCCCAGAAGCCCTTAGTTTTGTGATTTCTTAATTCCAGCTATTCCTACTCCATCTCTGATGCTTCAGGATGTGTGTTGATTTGTCCAAATATACACAAAGGGTAAATGTAAGAGGTACCTCTTTGCCTCCAAGGCCAAGGCCTTTTCCAGAGGTGAGAGATACTGAGGGCCAACTCCAGTGCGTTTCTCAATATGATGCCTTTTTTTGAGGGGGTAGTCTTATTTAAAAAACATTTTACTATCCTCAAGGTGAGAAAGATATCCTAGGTTTATCTACTAAAAAGTTTTCGATTTGTTTTGGCATTTAAATCCTTAGACCATTGGGAATTGATTTTTGTGTATGGTGTGAGGCAGGGATCCAAAGCCACTTCTCCATATCTCTCTAATATTATCTACAACTAGATATCAAACACTGTCAGTTTCAAATGCCAATTTAGCATATGTGATCATTCACACTGGGGAAAGCCTTGAGGTTTGCCTTTGCACCACAAATGAGTAAGGTTGTTTTAAGCAAATTCAAATGGTAACCTACTTAAAAGACAAGACTGTTTCCAAATATCAAATATGCACCTGTCAATGATTTTTAATGGAAAATATACTTATCCTTTCTTTACCTCTTGTTTCAAGATATCTTTTAACTTGTTTTCAATTCTTTTATGGAAGAGGTTCAGGAGCCAGCTGAAGAAAAGAGGAAAGAGGGTCAGGATTCACTTTACGATGAACTGAGATTTCCAAGAAGAGGGCTACCCATAGATTTAACCTTCCCCATGTTATCCCAAGAAGATCGCAGCCAGATGAATTTAATCCAAGGGTGGGTGACCGTTGGATACTGACATACTCTCACCTTTCAGACTGACAGAACGCTAAATCTTTGATAATATGCTGTGTTGACGGTAATGGGGGGAAACAGCCACTAACTAGCAAACCACGGCAAGGGCAATTTGTTAGTATATGTTAAAATGACAAAATGCACATACCATTTAAATATTTATTCTATAACTTATTTGTCCAGATGCCAAATGATATTATGCACAAGGTTATCCTTTGTAGCATTGTTTGTAGTAGTGAAAGACTGGAAGAAAACCCCTTACACTAAAAATAGAAGTCTATCAATAGAGGACTAATTATTACATTTTAGTGTCTTCATATAATGAAGTACTTTGAAAAGGAAGCTCTTATGTTCAGGTGTGGAAGAGCTTACAAAGATATAGTGAAGTAAGGCGAGCTAGGGATATACCACTCTCTGTACTATAGCATGCTACCAATTGTGTTAACATAGAGTAGTAAAATATCTAAGTGTTCAAGCATAGACACTCAGGATGAGACATTAGACACTTAATATTGGTTGCCCTGGCAAAGAGAGTTGGTTGTTTCACTCTGTACCCTTTGCACTTTTTGAATTTTGAACTATGCAAATGAACTCAGAAGCATTTACATTTTTAAAGTTATGATAAGGAGAGTAAGACCTAGTCTTTGTACCCTGCAAAATCCACCACACAACTTACCTGGCCACTTACCAATTAATCATTCACTCGTTCCTTCATTTGGCAAATGTGCACTGAGCCCCTTCTACCTGCTAAGGTAGGTGTGGAGGGACATTGCTGAATAACCTCATGGTGCTCAGGCTGTGAGTCTAACCCACTTCAGGTAAAGCTGCCCACCGAGAGCCCCTCCCAACCACAGACACCACTCTGTGAGAGTCATGGCCCCGAACAGAGCCTCTCACACTGTGTTCTCACCTGGGGGTGAGGGTGAGAGGTTGAGGGAAATACGTGAACTGCGTTAGTGGAATTACTTCCAGCAAAAATTTTTCTCCCATAAAGTCTTCTTGACCGTTCGATGCTTGCTGGTTGAATGATTAGTGGTATGCATTAGAAATGTATGTGTATTATAAGTTGATGTGGTAACATTAGACACAAGTGCTTCCTGGGGTTCTGCAGGTAGCATCCTGGGGTTGACATGTACAGATTCATCTCTCAAGCCTTCTTGCTCTCTGGCTTCTAGGTGTTTTGGCCAAAGGGAGACACAGGTAGAAAACAGAGAGGAGTTGGGATATTTACACCCAGGTCCCTCCGCCTGCTGTCCCACTATATTCCTGTCTCAGAGCTCTTCTCCAAGGTTCCAGCTCTTTCCAGACTCTGGAAACACCCTTCCCTTCCTCTTACCTTGAACCCTAGGGGTGGTAGTAGCTCCCTGCTGCTGCTAGTCTCCAGTGAATATTCTCTTCATTAGATTCTTGTCAGTTAAGCTTTTTGAGTTGCCCTCTGTTTCCTGCCAGGATCTGAGTGATGCAGTGCAACCAAAACAGAGTGGGAGGCAGTCACCATCATTCAGTCGGTATTCACTGAGCATTGGCTCCAGGCACAGAGCTTTGAGATGCTGGATTTCCCCTAAAGGCAGTCTTGCAAGAGGTGAGTAAACTTTCTTAAAGGGCCAGATAGTAAATATTTTTGGCATTGCATGCTGCATGGTCTCTGTTGCAACTACTCAACTCTGCTAACATAGTGCTAATGCACCCAGAGACAAATGCAAACAAATGAGCGTGGCTGTGAGCCAATGAAACTTCATCTACAGAAACAGGTGGCCTGCCGGATTGGGCCCACAGACTTTAGTTCACTGACCTCTGATCTTTTGTTTTTTTAATCCTCACCCGAGGATATTTTTTCCCATTGATCTTTAGAAAGAGAGATTGGAAGGGAGAGAGAGAGAGAGAGAAACATTGATGTGAGTGAAACACATCAACTGGTTGCCTCTCACATGTGCCCTGACAGGGATTGGGAATCGAACCCACAACCCTTCAGTCCGTGGGCTGGTGCTCTAACCACTGAGCACACTAGCCAGGGCTGACCTCTGATTTTGATGAATTTTAAATCTTGCTCTTCTGGCCCATCAGGGACATCCTGTGGGAAAGCTGGATGCTGAGGCAGTTCTGATAACTTCCAGCAAGTGTATGGGGTGACTTACCTTAGGTTTCCAGAAATGTGAATGCTGACGTGGCCAACGGAGTTGCTGCAGTGGGCCACAGAGGCAGTGGGTCGTCCAGACCCGTCCTCGCCCAAGTTCAGATAAATCGAGATGGAAACACCATCCACACTCAGATCAAAAGTACCCTGTAGGGTGCTGGTTGGGAGAAATGAGAACCAAATGGTGAATAATCAGTGGCCTCCAGAAAGAGGAGCCAGAAGAACTCAGACCCCGGCTTATCTCTGAGCTCCCCATTAACCAGCTGCGCATCCTACCTGAGCCCTGGTGACCTGAAAATCGAAAGGCCTTTCAAGGTGAGAGGCAACAAACATTTATTTGAGATCAATAACAATAGCTACTCAGGAAGCATTGATAAGGCAGAAGCCCAAGTAATGTTTCAATCAGGAGACAAAGGCAATGGGTATTTATAAGAAAGGGAAGGGGAACAACTATGTCAATAGAAGGAAGGCATTTCTATTAATGAAGATGTAACGTAGTGATATTCATTCTAAATGCTGTTTTTAATTTTAACTCCAGGAGTCATCAGTCCAGTAGTCATGTATCTACTGTCTTGTTATCTTTGCAAACAGTTCTTTGGGGCACAGGATTGTTTTAGACTCGGTGCAAAGGTTATTTTGCCCTGTTTTAACATTCCAAAGGTTTGAGACATAAAACATGCAAGGCAGTTCCTCTGGCATGGCAGCTCCGGCTCTATTTTCAAGTGGCTCCATTTATATTATTTTGACAGCCTCTTCTTACCACTGACTAAGACAGCCAGTGTTTACTGAGTATTCGCTATGCGCCAGACACACTGCAAATACCTTACATCTGCCATTTTATTTAATCCACAAATGCATCTGGGCTGGGTTATAATTAACCCTATTTTACAGATAATGAAACTGAGGCTTAGAGATAATAAGATCTGGGCCCTTTATAGATTGGACGTTTTAAGAATCCAGAAATGGAAGTCCAGAGTAGGACATGCCCTTGCCCAGAGCTGAGAGACATCCTAACCCAAGTACTACTTACATGAAAGCCTTTTTCACCTTCCAGTTCCCACTGATAGACACGTAGTTATTGGACAGGGAGGCTCTGACACCCCTCCCTGGGAGTAGACTCAGATCGGAGTTTCGGATTTGGAAGCTATGGATTCTCAGGCTAGGGAAGGAAGGAAGACTATTAAATCCAGAAAAACTAGGGCCACATCAGTCCTCTGAATGAATCCCCAGAATCCTCTCCAGCCTCTCACACTCTCTTTCTGATTTATTGACTTAAACCACAAAGGACAACCAACCCATTGCACCCACATCCTACGAGGTCTGCATGGGCTTTCCCTCCTCCAGGAAGATTTCCCTCGAGACCCAAGACCTTCCTCTTGTCTGTGACACCTACCTCCACTAGCTGCTCCTCCCCATTAACTTCTGTCGTGCTCACTTGACCCTCACCACTGCGAGGACCCTGTGAGCTGGCTTCACATTATGTGTCCTGTCTCCAGGAGGCAGCTTCTTCTCTCTGCTCCCCACACTTCAAATACAAATAAGGCTCACAATTTAGGTCTGAGATCACGCCCTGGTGATCTGTGGGCCAAACATATGATCAATATGCTGCACTGAACGTTTTCCTATAACGTTCTTAACAATTTGAATCAGTTGCCAACATTTTAAAATGAGGACATTTCCTTGTAAACATATGAGGAAAAACAAAACTAAACTAAAATTCTGGTTTCTCTTGAAAAAGTCAAAAGCCCTGGCCAGTGTGGCTCAGTTGATTGGAGCATTGTTCTGTGCACTGAAGGGTTGTGGTTTCAATTCCTGGTCAGGGCACATACCCGAGTTGTGTATTCAATTCCTGGTTGAGGTGCCTGTGGGAGGCAATAGATAGATGCTTCTCTCTCACATTGCTGTTTCCCTGTCTTTCTCTCTCCTCCCCCCTTCCTCTCTCTTCCTTACCCTTCCTCTCTCTCAAATCAATTAAAGAAAAGAAAAAGTTAAAAGGGAATGTTCTTATTTCCTTACAGCATCAATCAACTACAGTGCATAGCAGCTGCCCCCTTTAAATGGGGCAGATACCCTCCAGACAAACATCATACTTATAATTTGCCTATTTGCTCTCAGGTTCATTCTCTTTCTCTTGCTCTGACCTATAGTGGATGTGACTGACCTCTGAAAACTACATTTCCCAGGATCTTTTGCAACTGACTTCTAGTTAGAACTGGCTTTTGCTGGACATGCTCTTAACTCCTACTTTGAAGCCCTAGCTACTGTGCTCTGTTGGATACGTTCCCTCTCTTTGTCTTGCCCGCTCTGGGTCTGTTAATAACTTTTTGTAGTTGCTAATTTCTGGGTTGCTTCATCACTCCCTATTTGGCTTTTCAGCTCTTCTATTAAATTCCCTCCATTGAAGTTCCCTCTTTCCCACCGATCCCCACCCACTGCATATAGTCACTCTGCCTGGAATACTCATCTACATTACCCACTCCCCTGTGGCCACTGGAGTTTATGACTGTTGCCAGATCGATACTTAGGAGTTCCCTCATTGAACATTCATTGAGATCCTGCTCTGTCTGACCTGGCTGTAGGCACAGAGGCCACAGAGATTCAAAACTCAGTCCCTGCCCTCGAAAAGCTCATAGCTGGTGGCAGGTCTGGATGTGTTAACAGACCATAGTAACCTACTGTGGAAACCAGATGTAAGAGGTGGTTTAGGGATACGGGAAGGGGCATTGACCTCTAAATGGCATGGCCTGGACTGTGTGTGTGTGTGTGTGTGTGTGTGTGTGTGTGCGCGCGCGCACGCGCAAATTTAAAATAGCTCTTCTTTGCCCACTGTATTCAGGAAATTGTCTCCAAGAAGGATTCCAAGAGGAGCCTTTTCTATCAGAATCCCCAAGGGCTGACTCTGGACACTGAGGAGGCTGGGGAAGAAAAATCCATGCAACTAAAGAGTGGATGAAAAAAGAGAAAGGAGCCCAGACAGCATGGCTCAGTGGTTGAGCATCGACCTATGAACAAGGAGGTCACGGTTCGATTCCCCATCAGGGCACATGCCAGGGTTTCAGGCTTGGTCCCCATTCCGCCCTTCGCCCACCCCACCCCCATCCCATGCAGGAGGCAGCCAATCAATGATTCTCTCTCATCATTGATGTTTCTATCTCTCTTTCCCTCTCCCTTCCTCTCTGAAGAGAGAGAGAGAGAGAGAGAGAGAGAGAGAGAGAGGAGTGAGGACTCTAATACTGAATATGTGAAAATTGGAGGGAGAATAAGGTCAGTTAAGTCTTTGGGGGAGAGAGATGAGGAATCAGAACTTGTTCACCAGGGACCAGGAGGCCCCCTGCTTTATTCCTCACTGGGGATATGTGTGGATGCTGTCCTCAAGAGATGGCATGCAAATAAAATGTGAATAGGTTCCAGAAAGACTCTAAGTCCTTGCTTGCAGACCCCCACCGGGCTCTGGAGGGATGGATGGTTTGTCTCAAGTAGTTTCCTAATCTGGGCAATCAGGAGAGTGCCAGGGATTCCTGGTAGAGGGAAAATCCAGGGCTGACCTAAGGGATAGTGAAAGATTTCAAAGGGTTTCCCTCCCAGCCTGATGATTCAGGAAACACATAGCATTTTCCAGAGGCCCCATAAGAGCTGTCTATAGTCCTTTGCCTCTAGTCCAAGTGATGATCCCATGTTTATCTCCCTTCCCCTTGACCTTAGGCCCCCATTTTTCCTCCTCCATTGCCCCTGTGGTAGAGAATGGAGACCTCACCTCTTAAACTCATAACTCACACTTCCCATCCAGCCGACTTCAAAGCTTCCTGATAAATCAGGCACGTTGATGGTGGACAGTTCCTTCTTCAGGGTGGCCATTCCATATTGGCGGGCTGGGGGCAAATAGAGGGTGTTAGGTCTTTCAGTGGGAGGTACCAAGCATAACGGTTGAGTGGCCAGGTTAATGCAAGATTTGCCACTTACTGTTGATATAATTGCAAGAAAGTCCCTTAAATTCCATAAACCTCAGTTTCCCCACATGTAACTGGTAATAATAATAATAATAATACCAACCTGAGCCTGAGAATTAAATTAGATCATGAACTCAAAGTGTCTGGTAAATGGCAATCATTGTTACTTATTCATTCAACCAGATCATGGAAGCAATGATGGAATACAATGGGACTTTTGAGGAATCATTCCCCATAGTGTGGTCAAACCTTAGGATTTTCACCATTGCTTGGACCACATGTCAACAATGCAGATTCTTAGACCCAACATCAGTCAATCTTAGGTAAATCTCCAGAATTGTGCCTCAGCATTTCTAATGTGGGGGCTCCACAGACCACCCAGGAAAAAATGCTGATCTAGTCCTACCCTTAACCTTTGATAATTCAAGATGAGGAAACTGAAGTCCAGAGGGTGACATAGCCAAGGTTTCTAAGCCAGGCAGGGCACCCCTGAGATTTAAAAAGTTCTGGTTACACCACTTTGATGGGCAACAATGGGCACCAGAGGAATGACCAAACCCACTTACCATATTCGAGGCCTTTTCTGGTGATCCTGACCACAAACCCAGGATTAGAAGCTCCTTCTCCAAGCCTGAAGACTTCTGCTAGCAGCAGTAGGGCCACTACCACACAGTATGGTCTGGCCATCATCTTGTCCTCAGCTTCTTCCTGGGTAGAGATTGGTCAGTCTCTTTGTAGGAGCCTCCCTTACTGAAGGTGACAGCAGAGACTGATGTGCTTATAAACCCAGGGGCCAGATGGGGAACTGAGCCAGCTGGGAATGAGAGCAGGGAGGAGTCAAGGCTTTGGGGCAGCCCAAGTTTCAGCAACTTGAGATGAGGAGAGGTTGTGGTTTATTTTTGGCCTGAGAGTAGCAAAAATGGTGCTCTAATTTCCAGCTTCTTCCTCTTCCAAGTACTGCTGAGAGCCGAAGGGCCTCCCCACCACACCTGGCTCTAGCTGACACCCTCCATTCATTCCTCATTATCTACAGACTGAAACCTAAACACCCAGCCTCGCAGTGAAGGCCACCACAACTTGGCTGCAATGTACCTCTCCAACCGGAACTTCCACTGCCCAGCCTGCTGAGCCTTCACCCTGGCTTTGCTGGAATCCACTGTTCTCTGCTTATATCAAGCAAGGCCATCTCAATTCAGTCTGCAAATACAGCAAATGGATTCTGCACCTCTAGGCTCCAGAAACTTTTGATGTTCTCTTGCCTACATTGTTTTTCAGTCAACTTATTAAGGTATTAGAGGCCCAGTGCACGAAATTTGTGCACGGGTAGGGTCCCTAGGGCTGGCCAGCGATCAGGGCCAATCTGTGGGGCAATTGGTGGGGTAATTGGGGGGCCCCCACTGGCACCCGCCTTGGCTGACCTGGGGCCTGCGGGCTGGGGCAGCTCCTGTGTTGAGCATCTGCCCCCTGGTGGTCAGTGCGCATCATAGCGACCAGTCATTCCACCGGTCGTTCTGCCATTTGGTCGATTTGCATATTAGGCTTTTATTATACAGGATAAGTTGCATTCAATAAAATGCACATATTTTAAGTGTACAGTTCAATGAGTCTTGACACATGTCTACACCCATGTAACCACGTTATAATCAAGGTAAAAAACATTTCTGATATCCCAAGAAGTTCTCTCACGCCTCTTCCCAATCTCCTTTCCCGCCTCCTATTCCAGAAAACCACTGATACATTTCTGTTACCATTGATATTGCCCACTCTAGAACTTCATACAAATGGAACCATCCAGTACATCTGCCCTTCTGACTGGCTTCTTTTATGCAGCATTAGGTTTTGAGACTAATCCATTCGTTTTGTGTATCAACAATTCATTACTTTTTATTGTGGGCAGTACTCTGCCCAGTAGTGAGAACAATTCTTTCATTGCATTACATTTTTAATTTTCTTCAAAGAGGAAATGCATTCATGGTTCAAAAATCTATCGGTCATAATAAGATGTGAAAAATCTCATGTTCATCCCTCTTTTCATCTTCCCAGTTCCTATCTCTTCTTCATCAAATCAACATACAATTCCACTGTGATAAGTGCTAGGAGACATAGAAGGTGCTTTGAGAGTTTATATTCCAGGGCTTATGGGAACACAGAGAGGGAGCAATTAAGATGGTAGAGGTGCTCGAGCTTGGTTTTGAAGTACACGTAGGAGTTTAGCAACTGAGAGAGAGAAGTTATCCTAGGCAGAGAGAATAGCATGAGCCAAGTCATGGAAACCTGAGGGAGCACTGCCCATTCCAGAAGGTACAAAGACTTGTGGGAGAGTCAAGGGTGAGGAGTGCGGATGGAGGAGAGGTGGTGGAAGAAGAGGAGGCACAAACATGGGAAGGGATATCCTTTTGAAAGGCCTTGTTATTCAGTCCTTGAAGCATAAACATGGAATCACTTTCAGTTTCCAGTAATTGACACTCCCGATGCTGTCTTAAATTCTCCTTTTTTCTGAATAGGGGGCTCCCTTCATGACATCTCAGTCCTGATTCCATAACTTTCCAGCTGTGTTTGGTTCAACTTAAGATTTGGTCCTGTCCATATCAAATCTCAGTCTCTATTCTTTTTTTTTTTTTTTAATATTTTATTGGTTTTTTACAGAGAAGGGGAGAGGGAGAGAGAGTTAGAAACATCGATGAGAGAGAAACATCCATCAGCTGCCTCCTGCACACTCCCTACTGGGGATGTGCCCGCAACCAAGGTACATGCCCTTGACCGGAATCGAACCCGGGACCCTTCAGTCCGCAGGCCGACGCTCTATCCACTGAGCCAAACCGGTTTCGGCCAGTCTCATATTCTTAACGTTTTCCCTCTACCGCCATGCAGGCTTCCATTGTTCATAGCTTGGAGTGAGCAAGCATGTGTGTTCGTGCATGTGCTTGCATGTCTGTGTGTGCATGTGTGTGTGCAGTGTAGGGATGGTCTTCTCTTTCACCTACCCTTCTCTCTTCCCTGCTCTGTTACTGTGCTCCCTGGGGGAGTTTGGTATTCTCTTTGTTTATCTTAGTGCTGGTGAGGTGACCCTTGCTGAGAGTCATTACCAAGCTTGATGTCTGTCAGCTCAGGGTGGGTAAACAGAGCCTCCTCCATTCCAAGCAACTCTAGGCAAAGATCAATCCTTGGGAGAATCATCTTCTACCTGCAATTCCCAATTTCATGACCTCAACCCTAGGCCGGTGGCCAGAACAGCACCTCAGGGAGGTGGTCCTTGCCTCCTGTTCATCTGCCCATAACATTCTGTCATTCCTCACCGCTGCTCTTTTCCCTGCTCGGGGTCACTAGGGCCACTCAGCGAGCCCAGAAATAGCTGATGCCCAATTAGGAAATGAGAGGTCAGCCTGCTTGGTGCAGAGCCCCTACATTTCTTGGGGCTGTTCTCTTGGGGGCCCTTCTGCCTTGGCTTTATTTAGGGGAACCAACCAGTAGAGAACGCTTTGCTGTAGGATGGTATGTGGAAGGGATAGCCGAGGTTTCTTTACAATTTCTAGGAAATAATTTATCAGGAGAGTGGTCAGGAGAACAGCAGCAGTTGCAGGATGGAGCAGATCTACATTAAGGAGGCCCACAGGGTTGGGCACAAGAATGATTTAGAGCCCGGCTGACATGGCTCAGTGGTTGACCTATGAACCAGGAGGTCATGATTTGATTCCAGGTCAGGACACATGCTCAGGTTGCTGGCTCGATCCCCAGTGGGGGCCGTGCAAGAGGCAACTGATAGGTGATTCTCATCATTGATGTTTCTATCTCTCTCCCTCTGCCTTCCTCTCTGAAATAAATTTGTAAAATATATATTACTTTTTTAAAAAAAATAATGATTTAGGGAACAAAACATACTGCCTATATTCATGTGCTAGGGCTGCCATAACAGGGTGGCTTCAACAAAAGACTTATTTTCTCACACTTCTGGAGGGTAGACGTCCGAGGTTGAGGTATTGGAGGCACTGGCTCCTTCTCAGGGCTGTGAGGGAAAATCTGTTAATGTCCTCTTCCCTGCTTCTGGTGGGTTTGCTGGTAATCTCTGGTATTCCTTTGCTTATAAATGCATCACCTGAATGCTGCCTTCATCTTCACATGTCGTTCTCCCTGTGTGTCCATCTCCAACATTCCCCTTTTAATAAGAACACCGGTCATATTGAACCATCTTAACTACTTATATCTGCAATGACCCTATTTCCAAATAAGGTCACATTCTGTTAGGCATGAGGATAGCAGTCATGAAGATGCTAAATCTGAGTCATGATTGTTTCTTCGTGAGCTTGGATCTCATCCCCCAAATAGGCATAATACTATCAACTTTGCAGGATTAAATAAGATAATATTTGGAAAGGCATTGAGTGCTGAGCTTGGGCAGTGAGGCAATTCACATTGGGACTGTCCCCTGAGCTGGCTTTCTGAAATATCTTACTGAATCTTACCGGAAACATCAGATCTTAGTAGAAAAGTGAAACCAGTAGTAGAGAAACCTAACTGCAGCTTTCACTTCTTCTTTGGCCAAAACTTGAGGTCAGTTTTTTTGAGGAAATTGTAAGCTCATGCTTCTGAATTCAGGAACTCTGGGCTGAAAAACGTGTCTTCGAGCTGTGTTTACAGCACAATGGGCCCTCCAGGCATCTTGAACATGTCTGATTTAATGTTCCACGAGAATGATATTCCCCCTGCCCTCCACCCAAGTTCCTCTTCTCACACAGACAGGGAACTCACTCCAATCTGTGAACACCCATGGGTGGCTAGCCTTGGCATTTTTTTTCTCTTCCTAGTTGGGACCAATTGACTTCTCTCTTGGGTCAGTACAGATTTTAACCTGCGGCTGTCACTGGTCCTTTACCCAAGCTGTGCCTGTCGCCGGTCCTTTACCCAAGCTCAATTCCATTATCTGCTTCTTCTAGGACTGGGCTGATCCTCGAGCTTACCTGATGAAAAAATATCTTCACAGGCAATAACTGTTCATGATAAAAATGGTACAAATGATACAAAGGTGAGAAGACCTCTTCCTTCCACCCCTGTCTCCAGTCCTCCAGCTCCTTCCCCAGAGGCTGTGTGCTTCTCATGCTTCCAGAAGCACCTGGTGACCAGAGGAGCACACCAGGAAACAGGTTCTTACACTGGCTTTCTGCTCTTAACATTAAAACTTGGAGATGGTTTCCTGATAAAGAAAAAAGAGTAGATATAAGGAACATTTAGAAACTTAAGAGACTTAAGAGAGCTTGTCTGGGTCCCTAGACAAACCAACTAAGTAGGAGAAAACATTTATGAGACAATCAGGGAAATGCAAACACTGATTGGATATTCTGATGATATTTATGAATTCATATTAAATTTTCAGCTGTGATAATGGTATTGTATAAACAATTCTTACTTTTTAGATACCTATACTGAATTACTTATGAATAAATGTCCAGGATCTTCTTTAAAATTATCCAGTGGAGGGGTGGGGAGTGGGCGGGGGTTCGATGAAATGAGAGTGGCCATAGTTAGTTGCTGAAGTTAGGTAATCTGTCCATGGGAGTTTATCATAAAAGGCTCTCTAATATTTTTTGAAAAATTTTATGATAAAAAAGTTTTTCTTAAAGGTTTCCAGCTGCTCAATTTTTGGCTAATAGCTTGTATAAGTCAGTGTCTCAACAGGAAATGAAAGACACATTTAA